TTATTCTTCTGGCTGTTAGCACAGCTTGGGGTTTGGATACAAATCTTTGGAACAGTTGTTTACTTTCTACTGTTTGTCAGTACAGCTTTAATCTTCTGTGACGTTACTTGGGTTTTTTTCAACTGGCTTATTGACCTGTTGGGACTATTGTTTTTCTACTTGCCGTTAGTACAGCTTGGGTCTTCGGCATTGTGTCTTGGGCCTCTTCTTGACTTGGGGATTCTGTTTATTTATTAATTAGAGTTGTTAGAAAACGAATTCAAGTTTCTAGGTGGTAGTAATGTAGTCTGATGAAGAGCCTGGTACTCGAAAGATTACATTTTAGATTAATAAAAATGTATTTGAAGAATATTATTGTGTGTGTGCTGTACATATGTCGAATGTCGATATAAACATCAATTTCCCTAATTCCTCATGATGCGAATTAGAATTTCTATATCGGTATATTTCGTTTTTTTGTCCTTTAATGTCGCAATTCTCTATGTTTTCCACAAACACATATATTATGATGCATTAGCGCGCCATCTGTTATCAAAATTCGAAACTATTATAGACGTGTATGATTCTTTTAAAAATAAACAATTTCTACTGCCCTTAATTTTTCCATTGCAGTAAAGACAGTAGAAATTGTTTTATTTGTAAAAAGAATCATACGCGTCTATAATAGTTTTGCATTTTGACACATACATGAGCTATAAATACTATTCACAATCCTATCTAGAATTTAACTTATGCAACTTGATCTTATATATTCGCGCTAAGGATACTCTCCGCCAACCGCCTAGCTGCTTCTGTAGAAAAGAAAACCAAAACTCAATACATTTATTGATAGAATGTCCGATCTTTCCCAGCTACAGTAGTCATCATTTTTATCCCATTGAAGAAATTTGCGAATTTGTTTAGAACAAAGACACATATTATTAAAAAAAAAGGCATTTCCTTATCGTGCAACTGAAAGTTGCTGATGGCTTGCGCCATCTATCGGAATAAATATCAACTATTCTCGTTGATTTTTAATTAATTGGCCAAATATCCATTCTTTATTAAATAAGAAAAGCTAACCACGGACGCTTATGTAAAATTCTCAATAATTTTTTGTAAATTCATTTTAGATTTTCTCTTCTGTTTGAGAATCGTTTCAGTTTTAATTATGTTTTTAGTTCGGTTATTGAATTGTATATTGTATATAGGTTGCTAAAATGTATTTAGGTGCAAGTATCCCAAGCTGGGATATCGCGTACGATATGTCAAATAAAATCTTAATAAAATAAGAAACTTTTACTTGAAGACTCCGTTTTATTGTAATTTGAACATCAGAGAATTCTCTTTCGTTGTTTTAGAAATGTATTATGTATACACCTATCCCCCTATTTACACGGTACTTGTTTTACACGTTTTCGCTTTTACACGGTTTTCCAAATAAGTTTTTTTTTTGTTTTTATCGCACTATACTAAATGCTACTGTGATTGAACACATGCGCTGTGTACACATCTCACGAGGAATCCCAAGCTTATGTGCTGACTACATATTTTAACCTGTCAATGCATTTTATTTTTATTTCTGTGTACACCTATCCCCCGATTTACACGTTTTTCTCAGGAACGTATCTACCGTGTAAATCGGGGGATAGGTGTATATGTATTATGTATATGTCATAACATCTACTCTTCCAGGAATAATAAAGCCAACCTACAGACAACCCAGAGAGAGACGGGGTATAGTCCGATCACTTGAAACACAAGCGACATTTCAAGGGGCGACCAGCGGGGCCTGTTAGTTAACACCTCAGGACTTTTAAGACAGTTGGGGATTGTGTGCGACACGAACGGCCGCCCGGCTGTGCTGGTCCTGTCTCTCTCTCTCTCTGGTTGTCTGGGTTCCTTCTCCAACTTGTGGTGTGTTTAATTCCCCACCTTTTATACCACATATATATATATAACTAAAGAGACAAGGGTCGCCTCTCCCGTCAAAATAGACGTCTAAAACCAGACGCCATCTATTGACCGTCACCGCAACTAGCGACATCGGGTCGGTGACAAAGCCACAACACCAACTTTGTCACCGACCCGAGGCTGCTAGTTGCGGCGACGGTCAATAGATGGCGTCTGGTTTTAGACGTCTATTTTGACGGGAGAGGCGACCCTTGTCTCTTTTAGATCAATTTCCTCCCGGCAAAATTTCCATCTATATATGTAACTAATTTATCGTACCACGCGTACATACATACGGAATAATACAACCACTAACGTGTTATCACGGTCTGCAGAAATGAGTATCAAATCTTTTGTCACTAAAAGTGAAAATGGCGTCATATTCAGAATAATAAGAAGAACCTTGTTTTACCTTCTAATAAACCTTGTCAACTTTAACACTTCAATAGCCTAATCACTGCTATTACCCTTGGTTTATATTAACACCACGTTTTATTAACTCCCTGTTTAGAATAATTATGCGAGAAGTTAACTAATTTTAATTAACATTATTTTCCCTTTAAATATTAAAAATGTATTTATTAGCATGTATATATAATGGGGTTAATAATTATTTTCCTCTAAGTGTTTCCATTAAACCTTTTTTTAATCCATTTTGAAAGTATTTGTTAAAAATGTGTTAAAATTTATTTCAATCATGACTTGAAGATGGCTATGATATGCAAATATATCTTTATAATACAATATGATGCGGCTTATGATTGTAGAACGACATTTGAAAATTATCCCGCATGTGTTTCTTTTGAACGAAAAATCGAAATTTATTTTAAGGAGAAATAACGATTATTTCTAACCTTTAGGGGTGAGGTATGAAATGATGAATTGTGAAGAGTAATGATAAACGGAAAAATAAAAGTGTCCAGGGATGGGAATCGAACCCACAGTGTTCCGCTTACCGGGCAGATGCCATGTCCACTGGGCTACCCTGGACATATTTTTCCGTTCGTAAATAATACATAAAGTAATTTATTATACAATATAATTCGGCTTGTGATTGTAAAACGACATTTGAAATACTATCCCGCATCACCCCCTATATCTTTCAACGAGAGTTATCTAGGATCAATAATATTTTATTTCGTTTTTTATTTTATTTTACAGTTAAACCTGTCTATAGCGCCCCCTCTTGGGACTCACCAAAATAGAGTTCTATAGAGAGGGGGTGTTATAGACAGGTCACTTTTAATGTAAAATCGCATCATACTACGTATTTAAAATCAGGGGCTATAGAGAGGGAAGCGGTATTTAGAGAGGGCGCTATAGACAGGTTTAACTGTATTTCAATTTAAAGCGCTATGTCCCCCTATAGACATTTGCGCTGTCATACATGCATGCCTTTACATTTGTCTATACATATATATATATATATATATATATACGATATTTTAGGCCGTGAATAAAATAGTCATATGATATTAACAATGAGAATGATAGAAAAAGAACGAGAAAATACCTGTGTACAAAATAAAGAAGTGTCTGGCAATATGTACAATAAGCGCATAATATAAATTATTTCTATTTGCATATTTCGATAAGAAGCGTGTTGGTCTTTGTCAGTAGAAACATTCTTTTTGTTAGTGGCAAAAGATTAGATACCCATTTCTTCAGACCGTGATAACACGTTAGGGGTTGTATTATTCCCCATGTATGTACGCGTGGTAAGATAAATTAGTTACATTTATATACAATACAACAACAATAGCCTTTATTGGACACACGTGCCATACAGGATTCTCCCGGTAGGACAAAATAAATAAATAACAGATTAGCATGATAGTTATATACAAATATTGGGTATTGATCTCGACCAATTATCGAGTTGGATCCGGTGTCTGTGCTAAACATTTTGATTGAGCTGATTTCCAGTATTTATAAAAAGCGAATGCAAAGGGTCTGGATTTTACGACTTTTGCCATTAAAACATAAGGCGAATTGCTATTATAGCCGGTCTCTTGACGAAGAATTTCTCTTTCTTCTTCCATTGCCGTACAGTAGAACATGTAGTGTGGAAAATCGAGACTAAATTCAACGTTGCATAAGGTGCATTTTATGGTCTTAGTTTTCAATAGTGAAACATGATTAATTCTCTGTACTACAAAAAGGCTTCTTACTTGTGCAATGATTCTCTTTAAGGTTAGGGGGATATTGTCATTCAGATAGCATTCCATTGTAGGTGATGAATGAAAGTATTTATAGTGAGAGTAGAGTACTGATTTTCTTATTCTTACATAATCCATCTGCAAAGACTGATCGGTTGCCGTTCTAATAATTAGGGGGATATATCTTTGTAGAATATTGAAGTCTGTACATCCAACAAGCCATGTGAAACCGGTGGTGTTGAGTAGCACTGTTATAATTTTTACCAGTCCGATATTCTGTTTTGAAGAAATTGAAATGTCCCACAAATGTGCCAAACAAATTGAAGGTAGCCTGCTGCCGTCCATTTTCAGAATTCTAGTCCAGAATTTAAAAGTTAATTTTTTCACTGTGATATCAAGAGAGTTTCTTCCTGTTTCGGCCCTCAAAATATAGCCCGGAGTATAGCTTGGAAGGCACAGAAAACGTCTGAGAAAGGTATCCTGGATTTATATACACAATACATATATATATACATAATACATTTAAGTAAGGGAGCCTGATTCACGGGGAAACACCAGAACCGTAACATGGCCCATATTAATACAATAGTAGGAAATGATCAAATTTTGATAGAATGTCGGGATTCAAACTATCCTTAGAATAAGTCTTTCAGACATAGAGATAGGACCTAAGGGAGCTGTTAAGGGAAAACACCAAAACCTTGACACGTCACCCAGTAGCACGTGTTCCCGGACAAACACTGTTGCGCCAGTCTGGACTATATTTAGCTGGTTGGGACTGGAGACACAGTCCATATGGACTCGAGAGCTTGTGTCAAACCTTGTGTGAAAGTGGGAGACGTATTGGTTTATTTGGGAGAGTCTCTTTCCATCTCACTGATATACCATCTTTCTAGTTTTATTAGTGTCTGTAGCATGGCCGAGTGGTCTAAGGTGCAGGTTTTAGGCAACAGTCTCAAAGAGACGTAGGTTCGAATCCCACCGCTGCCAGCTTTATTTATTCTCTCTAGTATTATAAACCTATTCTAATAGATGAGAGAGAGATAGAGAGAAACCTCTTGTATATATTTGACCTTAAACTTATACGTTTTTAGATAATGGTTTTAAAGAGTTTTAAAAAGTAGAGAAAATAATTAGGTTGATATTATATACTAAAAGGACATCTACAGATCAGTAAAACTGAATGTTGCTGATGACCCACTGCCATTTATCGAAAATATATTGTGTCTGTGATTAATTAATTAAATAAAAAAATATATAAATGATTAAAGAATTATTTCTGTTACTGAATTGTATTGACTACATTCCTGTTTGATGTATATTGTTGATAATTATTAATGTATATATATAATACACACACTCACATGGACAAAACTTTTGGAAGTGGAAAGTCCTTTATGCCGTTTATTTTTTGAAGGAAACAGAGGCAACAGTAGCAGCCAGGAATATCCCAGGAAAAAAACGTTCTAATTGTTTTACTACAGTAGCAGCCAGGAATTTCCCAGGAAAAAACCGAACTAACTGTTTTACTACAGTAGCAGCCAGGAATATCCCAGGAAAAAAACAAACTAATTGTCTTACTACAGTAGAAGCCAGGAATTAGCCAGGAAAAACCGAACTAACTGTTTTACTACAGTAGCAGCCAGGAATTTCCCGGGAAAAACCGAACTAACTGTTTTACTACAGTAGCAGCCAAGAATATCCCAGGAAAAACCGAACTAACTGTTTTACTACAGTAGCAGCCAGGAATGTCCCAGGAAAAACTTGAACCAATTGTTTTACTACAGTAGCAGCCAGGAATATCCCAGGAAAAACCGAACTAACTGTTTTACTACAGTAGCAGCCAGGAATATCCCAGGAAAAACCTGAACCAATTGTTTTACTACAGTAGCAGCCAGGAATATCCCAGGAAAACCGAACTAATTGTTTTACTACAGTAGCAGCCAGGAATATCCCAGGACAAACCGAACTGATTGTTTTACTACAGTAGCAGCCAGAAAAAACCGAACTAATTGTTTTACTACAGTAGCAGCCAGGAATATCCCAAGAAAACCGAACTAATTGTTTTACTACAGCAGCAGCCAGGAATATCCCAGGAAAAACCGAACTAATTGTTTTACTACAGCAGCAGCCAGGAATATCCCAGGAAAAACCGAACTAATTGTTTTACTACAGTAGCAGCCAGGAATATCCCAGGAAAACCCGAACTAATTGTTTTACTACAGTAGCAGCCAGGAATTTCCCAGGAAAAATCGAACTAATTGTTTTAATACAGTAGTAGCCAGGAATATCCCAGGAAAAACCGAACTAATTGTTTTACTACAGTAGCAGACAGGAATATCCCAGGAAAAACCTGAACCAATTGTTTTACTACAGTAGCGGCCAGGAATTTCCCAAGAAAAACCGAACTAATTGTTTTACTACAGTAGAAGCCAGGAATTTCCTAGGAAAAACCGAACTAATTGTTTTACTACAGTAGCAGCCAGGAGTTTCCCAGGAAAAAAACGTTCTAGTTGTTTTACTACAGTAGCAGCCAGGAATTTTCCAGGAAAAACCGAACTAATTGTTTTACTAAAGTAGCAGCCAGGAATTTCTCAGGAAAACCGAACTGATTGTTTTACTACAGTAGCAGCCAGAAAAAACCGAACTAATTGTTTTACTACAGTAGCAGCCAGGAATATCCCAAGAAAAACCGAACTAATTGTTTTACTACAGTAGCAGCCAGGAATATCCCAGGACAAACCGAACTGATTGTTTTACTACAGTAGCAGCCAGAAAAAACCGAACTAATTGTTTTACTACAGTAGCAGCCAGGAATATCCCAAGAAAAACCGAACTAATTGTTTTACTACAGTAGCAGCCAGGAATATCCCAGGACAAACCGAACTAATTGTTTTACTACAGTAGCAGCCAGGAATATCCCAGGAAAACCGAACTAATTGTTTTACTACAGTAGCAGCCAGGAATATCCCAGGACAAACCGAACTGATTGTTTTACTACAGTAGCAGCCAGAAAAAACCGAACTAATTGTTTTACTACAGTAGCAGCCAGGAATATCCCAAGAAAAACCGAACTAATTGTTTTACTACAGTAGCAGCCAGAAATTTCCCAGGAAAAACCGAACTAATTGTTTTACTACAGTAGCAGCCAGGAGTTTCCCAGGAAAAAAACGTTCTAATTGTTTTACTACAGTAGCAGCCAGGAATTTTCCAGGAAAAACCGAACTAATTGTTTTACTAAAGTAGCAGCCAGGAATGTCCCAGGAAAAACCGAACTAATTGTTTTACTACAGTAGTAGCCAGGAATTTCCCATGAAAACCGAACTAATTGTTTTACTACAGTAGCAGCCAGGAATTTCCCAGGAAAACCGAACTAATTGTTTTACTACAGTAGCAGCCAGGAATATCCCAGGAAAAACCGAACTAATTGTTTTACTACAGTAGCAGCCAGGAATATCCCAGGAAAAACCGAACTGATTGTTTTACTACAGTAGCAGCCAGGAATATCCCAGGAAAAACCGAACTAATTGTTTTACTACAGTAGCAGCCAGGAATATCCCAGGAAAACCGAACTAATTGTTTTACTACAGTAGCAGTCAGGAATTTCCCAGGAAAACCGAACTAATTGTTTTACTACAGTAGCAGCCAGGAATATCCCAGGAAAAACCGAACTAATTGTTTTACTACAGTAGCAGCCAGGAATATCCCAGGAAAAACCGAACTAATTGTTTTACTACAGTAGCAGCCAGGAATTTCCCAGGAAAACCGAACTAATTGTTTTACTACAGTAGCAGCCAGGAATTTCCCAGGAAAACCGAACTAATTGTTTTACTACAGTAGCAGCCAGGAATATCCCAGGAAAAACCGAACTAATTGTTTTACTACAGTAGCAGCCAGGAATATCCCAGGAAAAACCGAACTAATTGTTTTACTACAGTAGCAGCCAGGAATATCCCAGGAAAAACCGAACTGATTGTTTTACTACAGTAGCAGCCAGGAATATCCCAGGAAAACCCGAACTGATTGTTTTACTACAGTAGCAGCCAGGAATTTCCCAGGAAAAACCGATCTAATTGTTTTACTACAGTAGCAGCCAGGAATATCCCAGGAAAAACCTGAACCAATTGTTTTACTACAGTAGCGGCCAGGAATTTCCCAGGAAAAACCGAACTAATTGTTTTACTACAGTAGCAGCCAGGAATATCCCAGGAAAAAACCGAACTAATTGTTTTACTACAGTAGCAGCCAGGAATATCCCAGGAAAAAACCGAACTAATTGTTTTACTACAGTAGCAGCCAGGAATATCCCAGGAAAAAACCGAACTAATTGTTTTACTACAGTAGCACTCAGGAATATCCCAGGAAAAACCGAACTAATTGTTTTACTACAGTAGCGGCCAGGAATATCCCAGGAAAAACCTGAACCAATTGTTTTACTACAGTAGCGGCCAGGAATTTCCCAGGAAAAACCTGAACCAATTGTTTTACTACAGTAGCGGCCAGGAATTTCCCAGGAAAAACCTGAACCAATTGTTTTACTACAGTAGCGGCCAGGAATTTCCCAGGAAAAATCTGAACCAATTGTTTTACTACAGTAGCAGCCAGGAATTTCCCAGGAAAAACCGAACTAATTGTTTTACAACAGTAGCAGCCAGGAATACTACAGTAGCGGCCAGGAATATCCCAGGAAAAACCGAACTAATTGTTTTACTACAGTAGCAGCCAGGAATATCCCAGGAAAAACCGAACTAATTGTTTTACTACAGTAGCAGCCAGGAATATCCCAGGAAAAACCGAACTAATTGTTTTACTACAGTAGCGGCCAGGAATATCCCAGGAAAAACCGAACTAATTGTTTTACTACAGTAGCAGCCAGGAATATCCCAGGAAAAACCGAACTAATTGTTTTACTACAGTAGCAGCCAGGAATATCCCAGGAAAAACCGAACTAATTGTTTTACTACAGTAGCAGCCAGGAATATCCCAGGAAAAACCGAACTAATTGTTTTACTACAGTAGCAGCCAGGAATATCCCAGGAAAAAACCGAACTAATTGTTTTACTACAGTAGCAGCCAGGAATATCCCAGGAAAAAACCGAACTAATTGTTTTACTACAGTAGCAGCCAGGAATATCCCAGGAAAAAACCGAACTAATTGTTTTACTACAGTAGCACTCAGGAATATCCCAGGAAAAACCGAACTAATTGTTTTACTACAGTAGCGGCCAGGAATATCCCAGGAAAAACCTGAACCAATTGTTTTACTACAGTAGCGGCCAGGAATTTCCCAGGAAAAACCTGAACCAATTGTTTTACTACAGTAGCGGCCAGGAATTTCCCAGGAAAAACCTGAACCAATTGTTTTACTACAGTAGCGGCCAGGAATTTCCCAGGAAAAATCTGAACCAATTGTTTTACTACAGTAGCAGCCAGGAATTTCCCAGGAAAAACCGAACTAATTGTTTTACAACAGTAGCAGCCAGGAATACTACAGTAGCGGCCAGGAATATCCCAGGAAAAACCGAACTAATTGTTTTACTACAGTAGCAGCCAGGAATATCCCAGGAAAAACCGAACTAATTGTTTTACTACAGTAGCAGCCAGGAATATCCCAGGAAAAACCGAACTAATTGTTTTACTACAGTAGCGGCCAGGAATATCCCAGGAAAAACCGAACTAATTGTTTTACTACAGTAGCAGCCAGGAATATCCCAGGAAAAACCGAACTAATTGTTTTACTACAGTAGCAGCCAGGAATATCCCAGGAAAAACCGAACTAATTGTTTTACTACAGTAGCGGCCAGGAATATCCCAGGAAAAACCGAACTAATTGTTTTACTACAGTAGCAGCCAGGAATATCCCAAGAAAAACCGAACTAATTGTTTTACTACAGTAGCAGCCAGGAATATCCCGGGAAAAACTGAACTAATTGTTTTACTACAGTAGCAGCCAGGAATATCCCGGGAAAAACCGAACTAATTGTTTTACT